GGGAGGAGACTGTTGGCGCCGGCGCCGAGGGGCTCCCCGGTCCGCTTAGGGGGTGGGAGGAGGCTGCCACTGCAGCGCCGTCAGGTGCCAGGTGAGGTGCCAGGCTGTTCCCACAGAAGGGGACCCAGAAGGTGGAAGCCGTGGAGGCGGGACTGGACCTGTCTGATGCCATGGCCCTGCAGCCCCAGCGCAGGGCGGCTTTGGCAGGAGGTGTTAGGAGCTCCAGGTTGTCCGGGAATCGGAGGAGGTTGCGTTTCTACTGCAAACACCCTACCCTCCGGAGCCTGCAGCCAGCTTCATTCCCGCGGGTGGAGGAGAGCCAGTCACACTGTGTGTGTCTTTCTCACAAAGCCCTGAGGGGGGATGGCGTGGGGGGCTGACTGCCAAGGGGCTGGAGAGGACCTCCCCTGAATAGGCAAGTGGAGGGGACGGCGCTCTTGGCATCAGGACCAGAGCTGGCAAGGGCCTGGCGACCTGCACGTGGGTTTGGGGAAAGGTAAGAGCCAGCTTGGCTGGAGGAGGAGCTGGCCTTGAGGCTGAGACACAGAGGGCGGGTTCAGTGGGAGCAGCAGCATCGCGTCTTTCTGTCTCACCCCCAGACCCAGCTCCCCCAGCAGAAGCTGCAGCTGCAGGAGGCATGCGCGCGCAAGGAGAAGAGTGTGGCTGTGCTGGAGCACCAGCTCCTGGAGATGGAGGTGAGGGCCCAGCGCGGCAGAGCCTGGGGGCGGGTCCGGGCTAGGCCTCCCAGCCAAGGGCTTTGGCTTGCCTGCCCCACAGGAGACAGTGCGTCAGTTCCAGGAGGCGGTGGGCGAGCAGCTGGGCAAGATGCGGCTGTTCCTGTCTGCCCTGGAGGGCTCCTTGGACCGGGAGGCGCAGCGGGTGCGGGGCGAGGCGGGGGTCGCCTTGCGGAAGGAGCTGGGGAGCCTGAACTCCTACCTGGAGCAGCTGCGGCAGATGGAGAAGGTGCTGGAGGAGGTGGCAGACAAGCCGCAGACTGAGTTCCTCATGGTGAGCTCGGGTGGCCTTCCTTCGCTGCTCCTCGGCCCGGAGAGCTCATCCCGGGGTCAGGCAGGGGCCCTGAGGTCCAGAGAGGGGCAGGGACCAGCCAGGGTCACACGGGGAGGAGGGGTAGCCCAGGGCTGCTGGATGTTGCTTAGGCTGGGCGCTGCACAGGCGGCTCTGTCTAAGGGGGACCTGCACATAACAGACGCTGTGGGTTTGCTTATTTCTCAGGACAGTCTGCCACAGAGTGCTGTTTCTTGAGGAAGGGGTCCCTTTTCTAGTTTACACGGATAAAGGGCTAGGGGTGGCCTTGAATTCTGGGTTTCTTTTGGCTTCTCTGATTTTTCCTGACCCCATACTCAGCATTCTTGGTTCACCCACCCATCCTCAGTCGTGTCCAGAGTCTTTCCTGCTGCCTTACCTCCGTTTTCTTTTTCTCTCTCCAGAAATACTGCCTGGTGACCAGCAGGTGCGATCATCGTGGCCCCGCCCCTTTCCCAACCTGCCCTGGTCTTCACTGGCTGGCTCCCCCGCTACTCCCTGTGTGCCTGCCCATTCCATTCGGTCCTCTGCGATTTCCCTGCACTTTGTTTTGAACATAGAAATGAACGTGACCGGGTCCTTCTTAGGAGCCTCCCAGACCAGGGGAGGGGGTGGGGGGGAGGGGGAGGCGGGGACATAGGACTCACTGTGCTCAGTGCTGCCCGGAGAGCAGTGGGTGGCCGGGGCAGGCTTTGCAGCGGAGTTGGACGATAGAGTTGGACTGGACGATAGAGTTGGACGCTGGAGGAGCGAGCTGGAGTTAGCCAGGTCAAGAGCCGGGGGAAGAGCATTGAGAGAAGGCAAGAGGGAGAGCAGGTGTGCTGGTGTGGCAAGTGGGCAACCTGAAGAGCTGAGGGGCTTGGACCTCATCCCAACAAAAGACTTAAAAAATTTGTGGTAAAATGTACACAAAGTAAAATTGACCATTTAAACCTAGGACAAAATATATGTTTTTATTGATTTTAGAGAGAGAGGAAGAGAGAGGACGAGAGATATAGAATTATGGATGAGAAAGACATGGATCGGCTGCCTCCTGCACGCCCCCTACTGGCGATCGAGCCCACAACCTGGGCATGTGCCCTGACCCGGAATCAAACCAGTGCATGCATGGGTTGATGCTCAACCACTGAGCCACCGCGGTGGCAAACCAGTTTTTAGTGCACATTTTCGATTCAGTGTCATTAAGTACATTCATGTTGTTAGGCAACCATCATCACCATCCATCTCCAGAACATTTCATCTTAAAAAAATGATCACTCAAGGATATGTTTATTGATTGTAGAGAGAGAAAAGGGGGAGGGAGAGAGAAACACATCCATGTGAGAAAGAAACATCATTTGGTTGCCTCCTGTACTGGCCCTGACTGGGGATCGAACCGGAAATCTTTTGGTGTATGGGACAATGCTCCAACTGAGCCTCCCGGCTGGGGCCAGAACTTTCCATCTTTCCAAACTGAAAATTCAGCAGAGGAATGATGTGGAGCGGTCCTGGAACTCCACAGCCTTGTCCGCTCTTCTGGGCACCGCTTCATGCCCTCTCCCACCCCATGCCTCCTCCGGAAGTCCCCTCACAGACACTCCCCATCCCCCCCAGGCTGCAGAAGATCCTGGCAGAGTCCCCGCCGCCTGCCCGTCTGGACATCCAGCTGCCTGTCATCTCAGATGACTTCAAATTCCAGGTGTGGAGGAAGATGTTCCGCGCTCTGATGCCAGGTAGGGGGGCATGTTATGTTTGTAACCATGCGGGTGATGGGAGGCCGCAGCTACACACAGAGAGGCCTCCCGGTCTCAGCGAAGAAGGTCACAGAAGAAGGTGCCTGTTGCCCCTTTGCCTCTAGATTCTAGGGCAAGCATGTCATAAACTCAAAGGCTAACATGGGCCAAATAAACAAGATCTAAGTGTATGTGGGCCCCAAAGAAACAAGAGCTTCAATTTCATAGAAACGTAGGTTTATTTCAATAGAGACATGCTGAATACAAAGGGCTGAACTAAATGAGTTGCTGTGAACATAAAATAGAACATTTTAATAAAAATTAATATTTTTGCTTGAACACTTCAAAA